AAATGAAAAAAGAATTTAGATAGAACTATTTACTTCTACTCTTTTGAACAAAAAATGTTAAAAAAAAAAACAAAAAAATTTGAATGTTGTTTTCTTGATTTTTCTTTTATATCAACAATAATTATTATACTTTTTACCAATAACTTTTTTTTTATAGCAGCAATAAATATTAAATATTTTTTTTCTTTTATAGCAGCGATAAATATTACACTTTTTGCCAATAACTTTTTTTTTTCAAAATAAGGCTTTTGCAACAAAGCTGCAAGCAACTAATTAAGTTATTTAATTAACTATAAAGTTAACTATTAATTAACAGAAGGAAAAAAAAAGAGCAAGAAAGACTAAAGACTTTGATAATGTAAATTGTATATGTCAGGAAAATAAAATAACAAAAGAAAACTCTGAAGGACAAATGCTTGTGGAAAAAAACTAAATGAACAAAACTTATTAACCACTTGGCTTCAAAATATTGAAATAACTCTTCTCTTTTTCTTCTTTTTTACAATGTGTTTATACCAAGTATTTTTAGTCTTGTTATACATGTGATAGTGGTGTAGTGGTAGAGCGCTCACCTCATAAGCAAGATGTTCTGAGTTCAATCCCTATCATGTTCTTGGTAGTACCACATTCAACATGTTTCTCTGCATAGTGGCTTTGTTTGTCAAGGTTTGTGTTTTGGAGTTATTGAATTGAGAGAGGGTTGTAATCACAATTAAAGTAGCCTCCTGAACTGTATAGGCTTTCTTGGTTTGGGGAGGTGAATTAACATTAAAAAACATAAATATGGTAGGTGTTTAATTTTAGTAAAAAGTTTGGCAGCACTTCTTTGAATGTTTTCTATCCATTTGATTTTTAACCATGTTAAAAATTACTTAGACAATATATCTATAAAAAAAATTACTGATAAAATTTAAATTCTGTATTTAAAAAAGACTTTCCTTATCCTTTATTTCTTAAAACAATCTAATACATAAAATAATAACCTTTTGTTTCCATTATCACAAATTAATTTTTTTGGTAAGTCTTTTAATTAACTACTTTTAATAGAGATTTATAGATAGATTTGATCAGTTATCAGTTAATAAGATATTTGTAAACATAATTTATGCCTATAAATAAAACTTCATAAGAAAAAACATTTGATCATAAGAGCTTTACATGATATTGTATAGATAAGAATCAAAAAATTTTAAATCCATTTAAAAAAAAAAAATCACTTGAAAAAAAACAAACGCATTAGAGTAATATATACTTTTGAACTTTTTTTTTTAAACAAAAAAAAAAGTTCAAAAGTATATATTACTCTATTATGTTTTAATGTTTTTATGAAATGAATTAGCAAATGATAAGAAAATTTCATCTCTTTATATTAATGCTGAACTTGAGAGTGTTAGCGGTAGTCTATCAAGCGTGTTGATACAGAACTCTTGGCAGCCATTGAAAACGAAGTAATGGCAAGAGTCACAGCACTTTTTTATAAGAAAATGAGAACGAAAGTGCAAATATCTAACTTATGTAAACTTCAAATTATGTTATGTTAAAACGTATTAAAACATATATCAAGTTTTACAGTTTTAATTTTACTTACAGACTGATTTGCGGCAACATCTCCTTAATTTTGATTTATAGCATTTATTTGCTGTTTTATAAAGCCTTTTGTTTATTTAATACTGTTAAAACATTTGTCATACAATACACATTAATTTCCAAGGTGGTTAGCTTGCAGTGTTTCTGAAGTGCATTAGCGTGATTCAAATCCTTTAGCTTGCAACTTTTTTTTCTTAAATATTTTTGATTTTTTAAAATACAAAATAAAATATTTTTGAAATTCTATAGATATTATATCATAACATATATAAAGATATTATATATTAACTTTTAAAAAACTTTAAGTTTCTAAAAACATCACTCTGCGAGAAATTTGTCACATAAATAGAGATACTTATTTTTTATTATTAATGATAATCTGAAAAAATAGTAATCTGAAACTTAGGCAAGTAAAAATAATAAGCCTGTCCTGATACTCCAGAAGGCGTTGCTGTATAGAGAAGAAAAAAAAAGAAGCTTGTAGCTAGCAAAAACTTTAAAATTCTATTTTAATAATAAAATCTTTTTTGCTATAAATATATACGGCCAGATTGAAAAAGTATTATGTTAAGGGGCAGATTTGAACCCTCGCAAAACAAAGTCAATGACAGCGCATTAAACCACTGAGCTATCGAAGTAATAGAGTATAATACGTGAAAACTTTAAAATTTTATTTTAACATTTGGAAATCTTTTTTGCTGTATATAAATATATATATATATATATATATATATATATATATATATGTATATACATATATATATATATATATATATATTTATATATATATATATATATATATATATATATATATATATATATATATATATATATATATATATATATATATATATCAGGCTTTTCCAGGAAAGGCGGTCGATCGCACGCCTAATTTGTCCACACATAGAATAAATTTTTCTGACTAACTGACCAAGTTTTATTATTATGCGTTTCAAGAATTCGCACCAAAACAAAGCTAAACGAAAATACTGCATAAATACAAGCAATGCTAAAGTAAATAATAGAATTCTGTTTGTGCTTTAAAATTAAAAAAATAATGAATATTAATAAAACAAAGATTTACCTATATTTCATTTTTTTTTTCTTGTTTTTTAGGGTGGTAGTTATTTCAGCTATGAAAAATTAAATCAATACAAATCAAGGAAAAAGGAAAAGATTATTGTTTATATAAATTTAATGAAAATAAAAGGACCTTTTAATGTAAAGTTTGTTTATGACTTTTATCAGTCAGTAATACTTTTAAATTCACGCTAGAACTATAAACAATTTTTAAATTTAGCTTTTTAAATGTTTCGTAAATACATTTAAATGTTTAAATATATTGATACTTAAGAAAGCGCGAAAACAATTGCTATTTATTTGTAAAATATGTTTTTTTTAATTTTCAAATGAAAGAAAATTTTATTGTCAAACGATTGAGTTGCTTATTTTGCAATCATTAATTGGCATTGTGAACGAGTTTTAAAAATAAATGTCCCGAGGGAACTGTTTTTGTAACAATGACTACAGAAGCAATGCAATTATTTTTTTAACTTCTTTCGTAATTACAAAATTATGCAATTGAATAATTTCAACGTAATAAAAGGCGAGCATTGACTCAGTATAATCAGGTTAGAATAAGTCGAAAGAGAACTTTTTTGCACATTAAAATCTTGTTAAGTTTAAAATCTCAAATAATATATTTGATAATAAACAGCAATTTATTTTCTTGTCTAAGTATTGGGGAATAACGTCATCGCATTTGCATAAATCTTCGTAAAAACTAAATTAAATGAAAACGTTTAACCAAATTTGCTTAGCGTAAATAATGAATCAGTTTTTTATTATATTGTCTGATGAAGTTCGTAAATAAATTACGTATAAAGTCTTTATTTTCGTGAAATTTTTATGACTTATAGTCGTCTTTTCCTTGACTTGTATCAAATTTCGTAGCTGAAAATAGCAACCCTAAAAAAAGAAAACAAAAAAATTTTTTTTTTGTTAATTTTTTTTTTTATTATTAAAATATTTTTGTTATATCCAATTTCAATTTTATACTTTGTTAAGATTTTGTTTCCTTTTTTTAGTATTATTTTTTATTCTTTGGGGATAAGTTCCGCTTTCCCGCAAAATATTGCCGCGGTCATGTTTTCTGAAAAATTTATTCTATGCGTAGACAAACAAGACGTGCGACCGCACGCCTTTCCTGAGAAAGCCTGATATATATTATTTAGTCATAAATATATGTGGCAAGATTGAAAAAATTTATTATGCTTAGAGGTTGCAATGCAATGAATTAAATCACTTTAATTGTTTTTAATCAAAATGATTAAAATATGTTGTGATTAAGTTTTCAATAAATTAAATCATTTGCATGGTTAGCAATAGCATTCGATCGCACGCCATTCCTGTCCAAGCCTGGTTAGCCTAATGTGAATTTGATGGCATAAAATTCTCTTTATTTTTTTTTTCTTAATGACATTAACTTTTATAAATTACTGCAATAATATTAATTACTGTAAAACAAGTAAAATAATATTTAACTCATTTTTTATTATTACTATTAGGGAATGTTTATTTTCTTTCAATTTTTTAATGTAATAATTAAATTTAATATTACATTTTTAAAAATGTTTAATATAAAAAAATTTCTTTCTTTTCTCTATATTTGTATAAATGAAGTAAACAATTGCAAAATAAATGAGCTAATTTTTTTAAATAAATAAAATTTAAATATTAAACAATATTTAGTAATGTTTTTATATTTTTATGTTTTTATATTATAACCTTTTATGTTTTAAATTATATAATATTTAGTAATTTTTTTTATATAAACTTGACAGTTAAGTTAAACCCAAGCATTAACTTTAATTTAAATAAATTTAAATATACTTTTTTAATCAGAATTAAGTTATATATTTTTTAAATCAAAATTAAATTGTATATTTTTTTTTTATCAGAATAAAATTATATATTTTTGTTAAACTAGTTTTAAATTATACCATATACTTTTTTTATCAGTATTAAACTATATTATTATAATCTTTGCTTCAAGCTTAAAGTATTAGCATTTTTCAAGCGAAAAAAAAAATTATCATAATATAAAAAAAAATTAAAATAAAATTGAACTTTTTTTTTATTATCGATTTATTTTTTAACCTTCGGAATTAAGGTCAGCATTTGGCAATGCCAACCTTAAAGTGTTTAAGGTTAGCAAAAAATTGCCGACCTCATTTTTATGTTTTATTGTAACTCCTTTGTATCAATTTTTTCAGTCTAACATTTTTCCTAACTCCAAGGGTTTTATTTATATATATATATATATATATATATATATATATATATATATATATATATATATATATATATATATATATATATATATATATATATATATATATATATATATATATATATATATATATATATATATCTGAAAAATAAATATTAAAAAAAGGTGAACATAATAATCAGTCCTAAGCCCTATAACATTTTAAAGTTACGTTATGTCTCAATCAGTTACAAATGATAATGAGGTTACATTCTTTAATTTTTAGTTAAATATTAAGTAAATAAACTCGATAACGCAGTAAATGTTTGTTTATCATTGCAGTATTGCTAATTATCATCATTTTATTTGTATTGTAAAATTGCTTCGTTTCAATTGGTTACTTTGTCACAAAAAAAAAAGTTTTAATTCACAACATAATGCCTCAATTTTTTTTTTTTTTAACTTTTTAAAGTGTAAACCAAACTTTTTTTTTTAACTTTTTAAAGTGTAAACATAACGTAGCCCAACTAAATGTAAGACATAACTAAAATTTGTCTTAAATAAAGATTTTTTGAACAACTTAATTGCTTACACTTTAAAAAATTGCTTACACTTTAAAGCGTAAAAAATGTATATTTGTGACATATTTTAATTACGTTTCAATTCTTAAATATTTAATGCTATGTTATGTATTGGATAAACTTTTAAAGGTAACAAAACAAATAATTAGCTTAATTAAGTAATCTTATAAGTTGCTTAAGTAAATTACTTTAACTTTTAAAAGTACTTTTCTTATGTTTTACATTACGCTACTTCTAAAGCTTTAAAAGTTTTATTTACCTTTTAAAAGTCTTTTTTTAAAACTAATCCACAAGCTTGTGGGTTAGTTTTTTAGAAAAACTTTCAATTAGAATAGTTTTGACAAAAATATTAATGTGTTTACAATATTGTTAATAAATAATATTATTAGAAATAAAATTTTGTTATATAACACATTAAGGAGTTATAGTATTTAATTTGTAATTAAAAAATATATTTTTAAAAAATTGCTAATTATCATCATTTATTATATTAAAATAGTATTAAATTATTAAAATAGATTCAGCTTAATCACATAATTTTTTTTTTTTGTTTTGTTTTTCATTTGTCATGAAAAAATAAAAAGTTTCAATTTGCATCAATTCTCAACGCGACGTCTTAATTGTTTTTTTAATTTAAACTTATACAAGTGCAACTTTTAAAAAGTGCAAACTGAGACGTAATGTTATGTTAAATAAATCTATATGCACGGCTCAATTTAACAGTCGACATAGCTAGATAATATTATCAAGCTAAAACCTCAGATTGTCTGATCAATTTACAATATAATCAGACATTTTGACCAACAGGAATTAAATTCTATAAAACAAAACTTGGACAGGAATGATGTGTGATCGAACGCTATTGCTGATCACGCAAATGATTTTTTTGTTTATATTTTGATCAAGACTTTTTAGATGTTTTGATGATTTAAACATCAGAAAATATGCTGAAAAAAGAAACATTAAGCTAAACTTAAACTAGGAAAAAAATTTTAAAAACTAAAGAATAAACAAAACAATTCCTAACGAAAAAAAAAAAAAAAAGCCTCAAAATAAAACTTTAAAAACTCTAAATAAAAAAAATAAAAATAAAGCAATTAAATCAAGGAAGATTTAATCTAACTTACTCATAAATTAAATCAATTTAAAAAAATAATCTTTATTTTTAATCTAAATATTTAGAACCTAATGGAAAAATAGTTAAATTTATTATAAAAATACATATATACTGAAAAATATAACATTTAATTTACACATAATCAGGCCTTGTGATGAATAAAAACTGCGCGACACAGAAGCACGACGTGATTTTTGACGTCATTAAATTCTTTTAATTTGCTTTTCATATTTATCGACATTAACTGCACCAATTTACTTAATTACCACAAAACTACTTTAAATCATTAATGTAGAAATGTTATTATTTAAAAATGTTTTGGAATGTTTCGTTTTTAAAATGTAAAACATTTGTTTATTTTCTCAACGTTTGACACGTTTTGTCTATACTAAACGAATAAAAAACATTATAACTAAACATTTAAAAAAGATTATAAAATATGCTAATATTTGATTTTTTTTTTCTCAAATATTTAATTTAAAGTTTTTCAAACAATTATTTTTTCTTTTTAAAAAGTCAGCGAGTAATAAACTGGAAATTTTAATATTGTACGATTAAAAACTCTGCAATAGCTAATATTTTTACCAGCGATTTTATACAATATTTTTTTATTTATTTATTTTTATTTGTCAAGCATCCATAAAAAGATGAGTTCTGACACTTGAACAGACATTCTATAATGGCAATTATTCTCAGTTGAGAAAAAAGATAGCAAATAAATCGATTCAAAGTAAGTTATTGTATAAAGACAACGCAACTTAAAGAAAGCTACACTTCAGATCTGGTTCCAAGAAAGTTTAAGAACTTGTTAAACCTTGTTTCAAAAGGCAAATTTTAAAACTTTGATACATTATAATATAACTTGGAAAAATATATCTTTATAAATTATGTTATAATACAAAATGGTTATAATGTTATAGTATTAAAGCATGTAATCAGAGTGTATAAAAAATAGAGAATAAGCAAATAAACTTGTTTTGCTTTTTTAAACATATTTTTGAATAGTTATCTTTTATATTTTGTTAAAAATAAATAAAATAATATAGTACTAACCTAAATTGCATTTCTGCTGCCAATTCAACTGTTTCATTTTTAAAATCCATTCTTTAAAACGGTTTTAACATAAAAGCTAAAATTAAAAAAAATTCAACACTTTTTTTTTATTCAAAAATAAAAAAAATTAATTTTTTGTTTCTTTTTTTTGAAAATAAAATTTTTAATAAGTAAATTTTTTAAATATACCAGCTTGTAAAACAGCTGTTATTGAGCAACTTATCAACTTGATTTGATATATATATATATATATATATATATATATATATATATATATATATATATATATATATATATATATATATATATATATATATATATATATATATATATATATATATTATCATTATTATTATTATTATTATTACTATTATTATTATTATTATTATTATTATTATTATTATTATTATTATTATTATTATTGTTTTTATTACTAATTCTAAACAACTTTAATAGCTGTTTAGTTTAATTTTTTTATATTATAAAAGTAAATTAAACAGCAATTAAATATTTATTATTAAAATATTAATAATTATTATATACATATATATATATATATATATATATATATATATATATATATATATATATATATATATATATATATATATATATATATATATATATATATATATATATATATGTATATATATGTATATATATATATATATATATATATATATATATTATAATATAATATAATATATAATATATATATATATATAAATATTAATTATAAATAATATATATATATATATATATATATATATATATATATATATATATATATATATATATATATATATATATTATACATATTGTCATTAATATATATACTTTATTTGCTGTTTAGTTTAATTTTAGTAAAAGTAAACTAAGCAGCAATTAAAGTTGTTTAGGATTAGTAATAACCGTTTGGTAATAATCGTTTATCATACTATGATGAAGCTTAATTGTTAGCCTGGGGCATAGTTGTTAAATCTTCCAATTTCATAAATTCTATGATTTATAAAATTCATAAATAAACAACTAACATAATGCTTAATTTTAAAACTTTTTAATTATTTTTTTTAGCAGGGTTTTTTTTGTTTTTATACTTTTATGAATTTTTTAAAAAAGTTTACAAAAGCAACATTAATGCAAAAATAAAAAGTTCAACACTTTTTTTTGATTTAAAAAAATTAAAAAAATAATAATTTTGAAAAATAAAAACAATTTTCGAATTCATGTAAACTTTATTTGAAATTCTTTTATGTTTAGTTTTGAAGATACTTAGGCGCTAAAGCACTCGAAGGAATTATAAATTGGGCAAAAATATTCCTGACGCATAGAAGATTATGTTAGAGAGTTTATATTGTTAAATATTAATTAATAAATTTATTATAAAATATATATATTGTTTTTTGAAATACTTTTAACTTAAAAATACGTCATGAATAACTTATGACTTAAAACGCGCGTGTTGAAAATTTTTATGCTTAACTGATAGTGGTAAGGGGCCGGTTTTCTTTTTTCCATATACCCCCTTAAAAGGGACGTCATAAAATAAAGATCCCCCCCTTTTTTTTTAACCCCCCAAAAAAATTATTTTATCTCACAATGATGTTTGAATCTGCTGCTACACCTTTGAAAAATAAAATTAAAAATATTCTTATACATTACCTTCTTAAAAACACATTTTTACGTAGTTTTCCATGTTAATTAAACTAAAATAAAAAATCTATAAAGTGACATCCTTTTTTGACAACCTCCCCCCCCTCCCTTTGTCCTTTTTTTGTTTTTTTATCTCGATCCCCTCCCCCCCTTTTTGGATGACGTCCTTTATGGATGGCCCCTAACTACCAGTTAAGCGCGCAAGCAAGTTACCACTAGCACTAGTAGTGGTAACTTGCTAGTATCAAGTTTTATCAAGTAAAGCTTATTTTTTTATTTGCAGTTTGTTTAAACTTGCTAATAAAAATTTAAAAGGTAATTTAGCAATCCTGAATAATCAGTAAATAATAAAAACGGGGTCGTAATGTGTCGTCCATAAATTATGTCACGCTTTAGGGAAAGGGAGGACGGTGGTAAAGAATAAGCGGTTTTGTGACAACTCATACAAAACTTGTAACAATTGAGTTACAATTCTGTGACAAGGTGGGGGGAGGGTGTCTAGAACGGTCAAAAATTGCGTAACATAATTTGTGGACGACCTGTAACCCACAAGTTGTTTTATAGCCGGGAGGCTGATTAAGTGTGAGTTTTACAGGTGCAAACTGGCATAAATGGGAATTGGCATAACCGTGCTGAAATAATTTACAAACAATGACATAAGTGCAAACTGGCATAACAACAAAAAGCAAAGGTTCGCCGAATGAATCTGCCTAAATTGGCTTAAGTACACCATAAGAATTGGAAAACATTAGCACTTATGACAGTTTGCAGACATGCCAATTCGCATTTATGCCAATGTTTGCATACTTTTTTGGTGCATTTAAGTCAGTTTGCATTTATGCTAGTTTTTAAAACTGCTTTGCATTTATGCCAATTTCCACTTATACTAATGTTTGTAAATTCTTTCAGCCCACTAAATAATTCGAAAAGGGCAAGAGGTTTCTTTTCAAAGTTTGATGTATAAATTTCCTTCATGTGAAGCAATCAGTTAGTTCATATTCAGTCACGTCACATAAATATTTCTGCAAAAAACGGGAGCATGCACTTATGATCTCTGCTTCAGACAATTTTTGATATTCCTACAAAAAAGAAAACATAGCAAAGATTTCTTGAACTGAAATTCAGAAGTGGTTAATGCAGTATCTGCAACTAATTTCTTCTAAAATTGTCAACTGCTTCTCCTATACAGATTTAAGATAATTGATCAATGCTTCAATAGTTTTCACCTCAATATCAATAGTTGCCTTTCATGCCTGAAAGACCTGGTTGCAGCAATCAATCAATGTGAAGATTTTTATTCAAATTTCTGACATACAGTATCGGACAAAACAAGTGCAACCAAATAATGCTAATTTAGTTTCTTTATATAAAAGTGCTTCATTTTTTTAATTTAGAGAAATAACTATGTAGCTTTTTAGAGACAACGTTCTTCAAGTTTTATTCATCACAAAGTTTATTATTTGTACTAGAAAATTAAAAAAAGTTGATTTCCTTCTGGACAAAACAAGTGCAACTCCACAAAATGTTGACCAAGCTGTATTTCGCTATCAATATTTCGTGGTGAATCCTTTGTTGTTGATCACAGCCTTGCATCATCGAGGCATAGATTCGATCAGGTGATCAATGACACTTTGTGGAATCGCTGCCCAGGCCTTTTGGATTTGTTCATTGACATTTGGATTGACGGATCTGACGATCATAAAATCCTCTCTTGAAGTGGTGGAACGCGGTCTTCCACCTTTATTATCTGCTACCAACTTCTCCGTAGAACGATATTTGGAACATAGTCTTGATACGGTCCATTTTTTCATGCGATATTTATCACAAATACTTTTTTGTGACATTCCATTTACGTAATCGCCAATAATTTTCTTTCTTAGTTCCAATCCAAATCTGTCGGGAGCCATTTTTGCACTTGAAGTCATAAAAATAATAAAAGTAAATAATCACGCTTCTCAAGGCTTACCGTGTTATATTTACCTTGTGATGATACAACAATGCTCCAACCAAGACGTTGTGTTCCACAACATAACGTCTTGGTTGGATGTGGACTGTATTGATGTAATGAAACATTTGTTGTATTTCACTTCTTGTATTGATGTTCTTCGATAAAACACTTTGATAAAACTCACTTTGATAAACTGTTTTGATAATGCTGACTGATTGGCTTTCATATACTGACTGAATTACATGTTGGTTTACATGTCTCTTATATAGTAAAATGAACATGTGTGAATCTGTTCTGGAAGATTCTTGATGCTCCTTTTTGATGCTTCTGGATGCGTCTGGATGCTTCTGAATGTTTCTGGATACTTCTGGATGCTTCTGGATGCTTCTGGATGCTTCCAGATGCTTCTTATGGAAACTTCTGGTAAACTTCTGGATACTTCCTTTAATTATTAAAAAACTTCCGCGACGTTAACACGGACCAGACTTAAGAAAATGAAACAAACCAAAAAAGTTGCACTTGTTTTGTCCGCTGCAAAATGGCACTTGTCAACGAAATTCTGCCTGTGTGCTGATTGTCATGATTGGATTGACATAAGCAATCAGCTGACCTGTCAGCAAATCGCTATGACTCCAAACTCTTAAACTGTTTGCTGTGGTAGTATAGTTCATTTCGTTTTTAAGACATGTAAAATTAGAAACACTTTTTAGCATTGTTCGATGTTGGTTGCAAATGTTTTGTCCAATACTGTACATTACTTTGTACATTTCAATTACTTTAGAAGCATTTTGAATATATTTGTAATAAAAGTATGTATTGTGAAAACTTTTGAATGCTATGCAGTTTTACCACTTTATCTTGTCATCTATCTTGCCATTTTACTAAAATGACAAGATAGATTGCTATAATTACTATTATTCGTGTTATTATCCGAGTGGTAAAATAATTACATTTTACGAAGTAAAATGACAAACTAGGTTGTACAACTTACTATTAACAAGATAGATTTTATTACTTATTATTGTCCGAGTAGTAAAATATCAAAATCTCACGAGGTAGAACGACAATATAGAACTTTCTCCTTACTATAGGCATTGTAACTAACTCCGCGGTAAAATAACAAAACTCACATGGTAAAATGACGAGATAGATTTTACCGCTTTCTTAAGATAGATTTTACTGAATATTATGCAAGTTACTATCTGAACTGTAAAGTATACCGACTAACTTCTACATTTACCGACTAACTAGTCAAAAAGGGTCAAATTTGCCGACTGAATGAACGAAAAAATCATTAATGGGGGGAGGGGATGTCACACCCTCCCATACCCCTCTACCGCGCCGGCCTTGAACGTACCAAAATTAAAAATGTTAAATGGCACGATAGATTTTACTATTATTTGAGTTGATGAAATACTAAAACCTCACGAGGTACCTTACAAAACCACACAATTTATATTTTACTACTTAATGTTTTCAAGATATAATTTTCTTTTAATTTTTTATTTATTACTATTTTATTTATTACTATTTATTACTGTTTTCAAGATATAATTTCTTTTAACTTTTTATTTATTACTATTATTATTAACTTATTTTACTACTTAATGTTTTCAAGATATAATTTTCTTTTAACATCCGAGCGGCGTTAAAATGACATATGGGTTTGAATGCGGTAAACTTTTATATAAAATTACGCAAGGAAACGATTGACAATTTCAAGATTGTTTTTATTATTTTTATTTTAATTGTTGTTTTTTTCTTGTTGTTGTTGTTATTATTATTATTATTATTATTATTATTATTATTATTATTATTATTATTATTATTATTATTGCTATTATTATTATTATTGCTATTATTATTATTATTATTAGTATTATTATTGCTATTATTGCTATTATTATTATTATTATTATTATTATTATTATTATTATTATTATTATTATTTATTTATTTATTAACAATAGTAGTAATATTAAAAAAACAAAAACAAATAGTAGATATAAATAGACTAAATAATAGTAATAAATTAATTATAACAAATAAATAACAACTATGTGATATTTTCCCTTTCATAACTTTTAAAATTGTTATAATAGTTTATATTGATGATGTTATTGTTGATGGCATAACTTTAAATGTATTTAAGATAAACACTTGAAGTTTTTCTTTGTAAACTTAAAGTTGGTAAGGGTAGTTATACTACTGTTCTGCAATGGGATAAAAATAGAAGGAATAACAATATTTTAAGTGTCTCTTTTTGGAAATTACATTTTTTTATAGACATCCATTTCTCTTTTTTTATTAAGATTATATTTAGATATCTATTTTATTACTCCATTTTCTTTACATAAATTTGAAAGAACTATGGAAAACTTAATGGTAATATTTAAAAATAATTCAAAACAATTTTAAAAAATTCAATTATATATATATATATATATATATATATATATATATATATATATATATATATATATATATATATATATATATATATAAATATATATATATATATATATACATATATATATATATATATATATATATATATATATATATATATTATATATATATATATATATATATATATATATATATATGTATATATATATATATATATATATGTATATATATATATATATATATATATATATATATATATATATATATATATATATATATATATATATATATATATATATATATATATATATATTAATTAGCAGAAAGTTGCTTAACAAAAATTTTTCATTCATTAATTAACACTATTTTACAACAATTAAATTTAATTGAGGAAAGTAATTAAATTTTATTGTTTTTTGAAAAACAAAAGTGTGACTATTGCATAACAGATCTAACAAAATAGTTAGGATCCGGATGCTACTGGATTTATAAGATTAGGATCCAGATACAAATCCAGACTTAAAAACAAATTAAAAACAAATGAAATTTACACACTAAATTTTTATTGATTTTTAAAATATTTAATCACAGTGAATTTTGTAAAATAAATGCTTTGCAGTATTTCATATCAACAAACCTATTTTAATTTTTATATTATAATTGTGCTGTTTACATACATCAACTGACAAATAGATAGAACATGCGAGGAGTGCTGCTACATTGACTGACAAATAGGTAGAGCATGCAAGGAGTGCTGCTACATAAACATAAAACTTACATTTTATGATTAAAATTAATATATACAAGACTGGAAGAGGTTAATATAATTGTAAAGTTGTAAAAGAAAATGTAATTAGACCTTTAAATTATAAGTTATTAATTTGTAATACAAATGATAAAATTTGAAAAAAGAATAAAAAAGCAGATAAATTAGGTAATAGTTTGATGTTAAAATAGGTTAATCACATTAAGAAAAGGTTTAAGGAAAAAAATTTGATTAAAATGTCTTGCAGATTAGGACTATTATGTATAAAATTAAAATATTTCAATCATAAATAAATTTTTTTTAAAAATAATTTTAACCTTTAAGTAAAAGTTTTTGAGTAAAAGCTGTAAGTAAAATTTCTTTATATATTTTTTATATTTAGAAAGTAAATAAATGTGTGGTCAGAATATTCGTTTATCAAAACTTGGATATTTTTGCATACTATCTTTTAGTTGTTTATTGTTTTTCTATTTTCGCGGATTTTCTATTTCACAATTGATTATTATACAAAACAATGATTCGGTATCTCTTCGGAGACTTTTGTTAGCATCAATTCAAGCAGCCAAGCTTGGTGGAATCAAAGTAAAAAATATTAGAATGGAACAAAGTTTACAGGTACAAGTTTACAATATTGTATAGTTATTATAAAATTAACTATAAATTAAAAATTTGTTTTCTATATATGTATATATTACTAATAAAATTATTATCTTTTAACATCTACAAATATATTAATATCTTTTGATGCAGGTCACAGTCTTCTCCGTTTGAAATTTACCGCCAACGCACAAAAATGCGCTGGCCAGACAGTAATTATCTGTCTGGCATGCGCGATTTGTTTTTTGTACCTCTTTAGAATTTGATTAAGATGTGAGCGCTTAAAAAAGCGCCAGCCGTTGTATTGGCGGACGTGTAGGCAAGCATAAAACTGCAAGTTTTAGTTAGTGTTTTATGTGTAATTTAATTTTAAATAAAAGGTAAAAAAAAAAAAAAAAAATTAAAAATAAATCAATTTTTTTTCTGTAATAAATCATTTTTATATGTAGAACAAATATGTGCCACAAAATAATGTCATTATTAATATTTTTGTGTGAACCTAAATTAAAAGTAAAAAATAAAAAGTTTGAATTGCATTACTCTATATTCATGTATGCATGTGTATGTTTGTTTGCGTGTATATGTGTGTATGTCTAGAAAAAACTTATGAAAGCATTAATTATTGAAAACTGTTTTCTGAATTAGTTGATAAGGGTATAGCTAAGAACATTGTCTGTCTCTTGGTTTTTGGTACACAAATCAAACTAGGTGTTTTTTCAAAAATTAATTTTCAATATTATGAGTTTGCTTATTAAATATAACATAGGTAATACTTTTTTAAACCTTTTGGCATATGCCAAAGACAAGGTCTTGATTGTTGTGTTTTGATTTGCAATGCTAAAATTATTAACTGCATTAAATGTTGAAGCCAATGTCATTATTATGTTATTTAATCCAATGAAATGAATGGTATATAATCCAAAGCAGATACGTAAAGTTGTTTCAAACAACTTTCATCTATTTATCTCAGCTGAAAATGCTTATATAAATCAACAGGTTAATTGTCTATATACGCATACAAATATACTTATCAGAGATGATTCAAGAGATGCTTGGTTAATTTATGGCTGCAGTACTTCTGTGAAGCTTTATGGAGTTTCTATATTTAGAGTTCCTGCCTCTGACGATAGCTTTATTAGTTCTTGAAGGGAAATCTTACTGGACTATTTGTGTGAGAACCTGCTATGGTAAAATTTAAAGTATATAACTCAAACCAAATTTCTTTGATATGAAATGTATGTTGATATCAATTTTGCTTTTACCATATTTGGTGTATATTAGTAGCTTCTACCATAATATATATATATATATATATATATATATATATATATATATATATATATATATATACATATATATATATATATATATATATATATATACATATATATATATATATATTATATATATATATTGGCATTTCCACGATGAAAGATATAAATTTCGTGTTTAAAAATTTCTTTTTTTAAAAAACTTTTTTTCTTTAATTGTAGTGTAAACACCTTAAAATTATTGTTAAAATAAATTTTGAGTAGAAAATATTCGAACTGAGTAGACAAACTTGATGAATGTTAACAGCTGTTTTTTCTTTTTATTATTCGAAAAAGTGAGTAAAATTTGATGGCAAGTTATTGCAACATTTTAAACAAAACATATCTATATTTTTGTTTAGAAAAAATCTTTGAAATCATATATATGTTTTGAGTAAAAAAACTTTTACTCTTTAAAGGGACTTCCAAGTCCCGAGACATGTTGTGTTCATATTAAAGAGAATGTTAAAAAAAAACGTTTGAGCAAATTTTTTTTTGATTAAAACCAATTAATAAATGTATGCCAAGAAAAACAAATCTTGTTGTTTTAGTCGAAGCTCGTCTTCTCCGTTTTTTCTGGTATTTTGAGTATATAAAATAAACGCGATTTTCCAGGCGCATTATACAGACTTGATAATTTATTCAAGCGCGTTTAATTCATAGGAGTTTTAGAGCATGACGTCATTGGAAACATTCTAGAAATTCTTTAAAAATTTTACTATTAAATTTTACTCAAATAGCTAACTATAGTTACTTATCTTATTAAAAGTTTATTTTATTAATTGTTCGTTAGTTTTTTACAAATCTAACGAACAATTAATTAAACCAAACACTAAAAAAAGATATAAAAATTAAGAATATACTAATAAAATATATATTTTGTAATTAACTTTCAAAATATTGACAATTTAAAAGATAAATATTATAAAACATTTATTTTTGTAAACAAATGATAATAGTTTAAAAATTTTACGGCTTTACAGTTGTGGCTCCGAGAATGAGCCATAGTATTAAAGTAATAGTTTATTTGATAATATATTCTTAAAAAAATTTATGCTAGATATCTCAAAACGCAACAAATCGTAAATAATACCTAAAACATTTCAACAGAATACTCAAGAACTTTATTTCGCTTAGTCAGCGTGTTTTTTGAACCAATAGAATTAGTTTGTTCGCAAATTTGGCAAGTTTTTAGTGTTCGCGAATATTCTTTTTATTCTTCCGCAAGATGTTTTAAGAAATTATGTTTCCATGTATGTCTGTAAAATAATAAAAATTTTAATTTTTAAGCCCCCGCTATAATATATATTGGATGTTATAATGGAAATATAAATAATGAAATAAGATCACCTCAAATACCAAAAAAAATACATTTTTGAAAATCAGAGAAAAAATGGGTTTATAATTTTTTTTTTTAATATTTACAAAGTAAATTAATAAAAGTGCATTATTATTTAGGTTAAAAACTATTTTATCTAATATTTTGAAAGAAAAACTTATAACAAAAGAAATCAAAATACACGTGGTGTAGACGATTATTTAAAAAAAGTTGCGCAAATAAAATACTATTTTATTTTTTATTTTATTTTTGTTTTTAATTTTATTTTGTTTTTAATTTTATTTTTTTTTAATTTTGTTTTATAAACACATTTTAGAACTTTAAAATATAATAAAAATGAATATGATTTGGAAATTGTATGTAAAAAATAACAATCGGTGTTTTAAACAAACAAACAAAAAATCTATGACATCATGCACTAAAACTCCTATGAATTAAACGCGCTTGAATAAATTACCAAGTCCTGAGGTTTTCTAAACTAACAAAATCTTACTCAGGACATTTCTTTCTTTTTATCAGCATTCTGAGAAACATAATTAGCTTGGTATTCTGCATAACTTCTAATTTTGATTCCATTTATTAAAAATTTACAACTTTTTAGGAAAATGCCAACATAAATCCAATAATTTACAAATATTTACTAATAACCCTTCACAATACTAAAATGATAAATTTATTCAAATAAAATCCAAAATGAAATCTGAACATTTGGATGATATTTTGATTTCCTTACCACGCTATTTTATAAAACACTAATTATCCCATTGATATGTTCAGTGACGCAACAGCTTTTAAACTATAACTATAAGTTAATATAATCTTTTTGAACCCAATTTTTTTTTAATAGTGATGAAAAGTTTACATTAATATATATAATTTCTAAAAAAATGTCATCTTAAAGCCTAATTTCATTGTGATAATTAAACTTTTTTAGCTTTTAGTTCAGTGACACAACCAAATTTGGTAGTCCCTTTAAAAATAATTCAAGTATTTTTTTGTCACATACACATCTGAAAAAACTTGGTTGTGTCACTGAACTAAAAGCTAAAAAAGTTTAATTATCACAATGAAATTAGGCTTTAAGATGACATTTTTTTAGAAATTATATATATTAATGTAAACTTTTCATCACTATTAAAAAAAAATTGGGTTCAAAAAGATTATATTAACTTATAGTTATAGTTTAAAAGCTGTTGCGTCACTGAACATATCAATGGGATAATTAGTGTTTTATAAAATAGCGTGGTAAGGAAATCAAAATATCATCCAAATGTTCAGATTTCATTTTGGATTTTATTTGAATAAATTTATCATTTTAGTATTGTGAAGGGTTATTAGTAAATATTTGTAAATTATTGGATTTATGTTGGCATTTTCCTAAAAAGTTGTAAATTTTTAATAAATGGAATCAAAATTAGAAGTTATGCAGAATACCAAGCTAATTATGTTTCTCAGAATGCTGATAAAAAGAAAGAAATGTCCTGAGTAAGTTTCGTTATGCAGAATACCAAGCTAATTATGTTTCTCAGAATGCTGATAAAAAGAATGAAATGTCCTGAGTAAGATCTTAGAGATACCAAGAAAAATTGAAAGCTGATCCTAATAAAAAAGCAGCTTATGCTGCTAAAGCAAAATTAAGAGTTTTAAAAAGTCGCACTCTAAAAAGAAAACTTTTAAATCAGTCTCAAAGACCAAGCTCATTCTTTAAAAACGTTCAACAAAGAGGAAAAGCATTAAAAAGAGTTTTAAAAGCACTACCAACTTCAAAGAAGAAACAATCTGAATTTCATTCTATTCTTTTAAATAGCTCTGCTTGTAAAGATAATTTGGGTCTACCTCCAGCATGTTCAAAGCTGTATGGGCTTTCTGGTGCGATGTTTTAGCAGTTGTAAACTTTTCTAATGAAGATGAAGTTTCCCAAGTATCACCAAACAAAAAAGATGTCACTCGAATTCATTTATCTGACGGAAAAGAAAACAATATTCAGATACGTCATTTATATTATACGCTAAAAGAAGCTTTCGAGTTATTCAAGGAAAAGCATCAGCATGTAAAAGTTGGACTCAGCAAATTTTGCGACCTTCATCCACGCAATATAAATCTAGTTACAAAATTTCTGCATAATGTTTGCGTTTGTAGTTTGCATGAAAATATGCTACTTGCCTTAGATGCATTAACAAAATCAATTCAAGCGTCTTCAATCAAAGTTGGATCTGAAATGATAAATAATTTTGTTTGTGAACCGTACACATACAATTGCGCCTATGACAAATGGGTTGTGTGCAAAGGTATGAAACAGTTCGATAAACACTTGCAAACTGTTAATACATTTGGTTTTGAAGTATCCTGGGACGAGTGGAGAAAGCCTG